CTTGAAGTTTTAGTCGTTCATACAATAGGCAAAAAGGAGAGGTAAGCCTGTTATCTATAACATGAGTTCACATCTATTTCAGCTTTTTTTTAAATTCTGAAGGATCTGACAATTCTATTATGTTATCCTATTTTATTTTGCAGAGAAAAATGTAACACTGAATCTATAAAACTTTTGATGAAAGATGCAAAATTACGTGGTTTGAAGGTTGTGTGCTATGACGACCCAGAGTAGGTGTATTTTCACCAATCATTTTATTATATCTTTACATAAGCGTACGAAATTTCTTGGGTTAGCTCAGGCTATACGGTTTCTCAACCAATGACCGTGTGTTATTCAGCGAGTATTGTAAGACAGTTATCAGATAAAAATAAGACAAACGTTTGCTAAATTTGAATTAATTAACGTACATGACATTATCAGCTATTAGTTCATTCTGTTTATTCTTTCCAGTGATGTCCGACACATTCTATGCACTGATCATCCAAATGCGAAACAATGCAGATTTAAAGGTCTACTTGGTGACGGACAAGATTATAGGTAACGAATTCATGTCTTTCCTTTGTTCTTAAGCTGCTGGCCTCTCACCGCTGTGGTTCGAGTCGATTCTCAGGCACGGACCATATGTGAGTTTGAGTTTGTTACAATTGTCTAACATTCACGCGGGCTACCTGTGTTCTTTTTTTGTGTGGGTTCCBTTATTTTTAAGGATGGGAGGGGACTAGGACAAATTTATAATTGCGAAAGATTTATCATCACTGTAAATAAGAAACTCACAAAGTTTGCTGTTAATCGGATCAAGGTAAACGACGGGCAGCTTTTCAAAATTATAGATTTTACAGAACTTCACGGGAATTTAGAAAAATGAGGAACGCAGCGTCCGGCATTCTATACATTTCTCAGCGGAAATTCTAGTGTTTTTGAAAGGCTGCAAATCGTTTAATATTGACCTGATCAACGCTGAATTCGGACATTTAGTATTTCTSAATACGTTCTTTCGTTCTATATTGGTCGTATTGATCCATATCATGCCAACTAAGGGACTTGTTCCCAGTCTCCCAGTTCATAGGGATCTCCAGCAAGTGGCATACACTTAGTAGACGTATTTAGTTTCAGTCAGTTTGTTTTATAAGAATCTCACCAACTGTTATTGGAACATTAGCATATCACACAATTGAGCTCGATGCTCAATTTAATTAAGACTCCGCTCTAAAATGGCTGCGTCAGCATTTCTAATCCGTTTCCTATGTGCATTTTCTTTGAAATGTTCCTTATTTTGATTTCGAAAGACCTTGAAAATATTAGATACTTACACAACATGGGATATGTGCATTTTGTTTTCAGACAATGGAAAACGATTGGCATTACCTTAGCAGTGGTTTCATCTGTGTTGCTCATTGTGGTCACTATCATACTAGCGATATATGTACACAAAGTACATTGTGGAAAAAAAGSCGATGATACACTTGTCCTTACACGAAACGCCTGATTATTTGACAATTTAGAAACTGTGGAGTAGATATCCCGAGACATTCGGCACAACAAGAGTAAAGCTAACCCCCTTTTACTTCTTATTTCTTCCCCTCYATAACTGAAATCATATYCATCGAAAGGCGCTTGAACGCTTCCTTAGCTTGCTTCATTGTATTATTTTTTTAGTTTTAATTCCAGTATGCAAGAAAGTCATTGCAACTGTGTTAAAAGTTAYGTAAATTATCATAGAGTAAAGCATTTCTGAAATACTTACACGTGATCATGAAAKGCGTGTTTTGGTCTGGAGTGTTTTGAGTTGAAAACCTGAGAAATAGTTATTATAATAATCCACAGGAGAAGAAGAAAGCGGATCCGTAAATATATAAATAAATAATCAATGAAAAACAATGATCAACCAACCCCTAAAACGATGACAAACAAAAGGCAAAATAAGCAGAAAAAAAATAATGAAGGAAACTTTTTGCGCACAACACTATACTTCTTGAAAAGGAAACGTTTGTATRAGTACAAATCAATTTACGTTATTTCATATATATTATTGTGTTGGATGCGTCAATACATATAGTCAGTCTGTACTAGTTAGCAAGTAGCTTAATATAGAGTGGTTTTCATAAACCCGTGAAACAAAGT